CGTGCTTGCGCTCGCCGCGTGTGTCGCAATCAAGCTCCACCAGTCGAAGGGCGGGAAAGCGTTGATGAAGGAGCCCAACATCAAGGTCTAAGCAGCAGCGAGTCGCAGGACCTTGAAGTTTGCATAAGATTCCACGTATGGAACAGAGTTGAGTGCATGTTATATGGATTGGCTTCGATACGAGCGTACAGCCACCAAGGAGCATCTCGTCTGTCTGTCAGGCTACTAGTACACTGCAGCGCAGATCAAGACGTTCAGCATCTGTCCTTGGCCTTTTCTGCAGTATAAGAGCGTATTGGCGACGAGGCTCGAGGTCCCGAAGCGGTGCTACGCGTTCGTTGAGTCCATGCAGTTTTGCCGGCCGAGCCGAAACTTGAAAACTTTTACGCCAGATCATGCCCCAGTTTCAGCTCCACGCGGCCTCGCCAGAGCAAACTCTACTCCTTCGCTGCCATGTTGGCATGCGCTCCTTCCTCTCAGCGCAGAACCTCCTTGAAGCAGTATAGTAGCATTAGGCAATGTCTCTGCCAGCGCTGCCCTCCCTCACACGGCGCCCGCGGGAATCGCAAGCGCCATGTCGACGCGGGCTTCCGCAAGCATGGACCCGTCGTCTTGACGCTCGAGCAAATCACCTTGCACGGACTCTGGTAGGAGAAAATTCCTTCTTTGCAGCAGTGCTGCAGCAATTCTCCAACGAGTTGCCTCCATGAGCACAGCGCACGACTGCATCAAGGCGTCAGTTTGAGATAACATAATGCGTTGATGGGCAGAGCTTTCTTGGGCCTGCCCCGAGCGACCACTCGCGAGAGTTGTCGGCGGTCCCGTGGCAAGGTGGGGCTACTTGCGCGAAAATTGATACAACACTGCCGCAAAGAAGGAATTGCACCTAGACGCTCCGACTGCCACGTATTAAATCCTGCAAGTCCATTGGCTCGGTCGGAACTGAGTTGGCTATGGCGATGCATCCATGAAATGTTCTTTCTGACGCCCTTCTTCATCGTCGACGAGGGGAGGAGGGAGCACTCTTCAAATCGCCTCGACGCGCTGCTTGCAGCTGAGACACGGGTGCTCTTGAGCGTGCTTCGCCACTTCGTTCGTGCCGGAACCGCCATCGTGGCCGACGCTCCATCGTTCTCTCTGCACCCTGCGCCACCTCGTCGACCACCGACGTTGACACCAGCACAGCGTGGCGATGCAGCGCCGTCCCTCGACTCGTCCTCCAAAGCTGGCTTCATCGCAGGTTCCATCGTTCCATGTATTGTACTTCCATGGACTATTGGCAGGAGAAGAAAAGGCGGCAACGACCAGCTTGTCCAAGACTACCCAAACGTAGCATGTTCGTCCATACAGGATCTTGTGCTCACAGCCTGTGAGCACTGTTGGAAGAAAAGATCATTATGTATAGACGACATATACTAGTATAAGAATTATATGTAGATCAAATTTACTAGTTTGTCGTTTGCGTCTTCTACAAAGTCGCGCTGTTGTCGTCGTCGGCCTCCATGTCCGTGTCTTTCATGTCCGGAGTCGTACTGTCTGGGAAGGGAGCGAAACCCGGCATGGGCATGGGCATGGGCATGTTCAAGGCCGTGAGATGCCCTTGCAGCCACGCGTTGCGGGTTTCTAGAACCACGATATAATCGTAGGCAAGGCCGAGCGAAACCTGAAGATAACGCGTCCTCTCGGCTTGTTCGTCCAGGGCGCGCTGTGCGAAGGATAGCGACGCTTCGTAGTTGTCGGCCTGGGCCATGAGCACGCGGCCCGCGGCCGAGAGCTCCTGGCTCGTACGATCAAATGTCGTGGCACACGCGTTTGCCGCCAAACGGGCGGCCGTATAGAGTCCAATTTCGCTCGCCATGGAGCTTTCCAACGAGCGCACGCGCGCCTCGAGCTGCTCGCACGCCGTCTTCCAGCGGCGCGCGTCCTCGGCGTCTGTGTTCGCGGTCGCCCCGGCTGTACCATATGGCCTACTTAGCATATGGTAGAAGATCGCGGTGGACTTACACTCGGCGTGGGCGGGCGCGTCCTGTGCGTCTGCGGCCTCGGACGGGGCGGGCGTCGTCGCAAGAAAGGCCGGGGGACGCACGACGCTCGCCGACGGCGTCGTCGGCGCATAGGCGCCCGCGCGCGCAGCACGCATCGCTGCCAAGCAGGCGTCGTCGTCATGGGTCATGGCCGCGTCGTCGTCGCGGGTCATGGCCGCGTCGCCGCTGATCTGGTTCAAGGTGGTCATGCTTATAGTACTTCCTTGGGAGGAGCAGGCGAAAAGCAGATATGACCGCGAACGAGTGTAGAGTTTGAAATCCTCGCATTTCATTGGTCAAGCGCTCGAATTTATTCAATTCACCCACGCCCATCCTACTGCCCGAGCGCTGCGACGAGCTCGGTGCGCCACTGCACAACGACAACAACAACGTCATCGCATCAACTCTATGGCATTTCTTTATATTAGGGCGCTCCGAAGAAGCGGAGGAAGCAAGGACAACGACGGCCGCGTTGTGATTTCGTCGAACGAATCGAACAAAGGAGGTTGTCAACTGATCGTGCAGTTGTCGTGCGTGAGCTTTCCGCGTCGCTCGCGCTCGAGGAGCTCGCGTTGCGTCATGGACGCTACCATCGTCCGAATTGAGCGGGATGGATAGACAGAGAGACAACGTACGGTTGAGGGTCATGATGAGCGCGTCTCGGGCGATGGTTTCAAGCGCGTCCGAAGTGTTCTCCGATGTCTTCGCACTCGTCTCGATGAACCGGCAGTTGTACTGCGACGCCGCCGCCTGCCCATCCTCCGAAGGCACGATGCGCGTCGGCAGATCAATCTTGTTGCCGACAAGCAGCATCGCTGGCATGTTGGGCGTCGAGTATTGCTGGATGTTCTTCATCCAATAGCCCACATCTACAATGTATCAATCTATCAACGCGTCCCGTCCATCGCGACGTACTGTCAAAGCCGCGCTTGTCGCTCACGTCGTAGACGAGGATGATACCATTCGCGCCCTTGTAGTACGCTACATGATGAGGATCAGCACTTGAGAAATCCATCGCGAGAGGCGCCTACTGGAGGTGATGCGGTGGAAGCGTTCTTGGCCGGCCGTGTCCCAAATCTGCAGCGCCACGTCGTGCTCGTCTTCGAGGCGCAGCTGCCGCAGCTTGAAATCGACGCTACGCAGGGATAGGAGACAGAGCAACAGGAGAGGGTCGACGTACCCTGCGGTGGCCAGCATCGACTCGGAAAACTCGTCGCCAGAGAAGACGCGCATGAGACTCGTCTTGCCGACGCCGCTGTCGCCGAGCAGCAGAAGCTTGATCTTGTGGGGCTTCTTGACGACCGTCTTGGCCTCGTCGTCCGTGGCCGACGCCGAGAGCGAAGACGGCGCGCGACCGAGCGAGCTGCGCCCTGCGGTCGCCTTTGTGATCGAGGTGCGGTTCGAGCCGCCACCGCCGCCCTTCGGGCCAAACTTGGTCAGGACCTTGGACTT